AAATGCATCTATCCATATATTAATATAGAGATACATATTTTTTTTCCCTAAAAATGTGATCATATTATTCACATTCTCTTCTGTGACTTGCTGGTTTTGACTTAATGGTATATTTTAGATCTCTCTCTGTCTTGTCTGATTTAGAATCCTAGTAGAAAAACTTCTGGTATTTTACTATAAAGCATTCTGCTGACCTTCACTTTGAGATATACATCAATAATTCCATGAAAGAAATATCTTCACATATTGATAATGTTGAATGTTTGAATACTTGGATTATTTAGATAGACTTTTGTATTATTGAGAGATTCTAGCTTTCTTATGAACTGCTCTGGTAACGGTGTATTGTTCTTTCTTATGGTACTTCTGGATTCTAGATGCTTACATGGGAATGAATATCTTTTATGTCCATTTTTATAGATGAGATTAGTTTGAAGCTTTCTTCTATATCTTGTGAGATTTTGGTAGCTGTTAAATATTAGCATTTTAAGAAGTATTTGGAAGTCTTTTATTTTTTTATGTTGTCCGGAGTACTTGAAATAATACTGGAACTAAAACTTCCTTGAAATTTTGTATTAATTTTACCTGTACGTCTTGATATATTTTGCCATTTTAGAATCCCACTTTAATAATTAACATTTCTTAGGAAATATATTTACCCAGATTTTCAAATGTATTAACATAAACTTGTATGTCGTATTTTCTTATAATTCTGTTAATTTCCTCTCATATGTGGGTGTTTTCCTTTAATTTGCATTTTTGTTTTCTTTCTCCTGATTTGCTTTTTCACAGGCCCAGCTCTTAGATTTTTTTTTTTTACTGTTTTCCTCTTTTCTAATTTATGACTTCCTGGTTTTATGATCATTGTTTCTACCTTTTGTTTGTCCCATTACGTTCATTACTCTTTTTTAACTTAACAATTTAAATATTTAATTAGTTCATCTTCATTCTTAGTGTTGGAATATGACTGTATCTTTAAACTAATTTAAACTGTTTCCCATTCATAATATAGCACTTTTATTATTTTCTATATTTGCGTTAAAATTAAATAATTTTAACCTAAGAATTGCTTATAGTGTTTTTTTTAAAATTTCCAAGCTATTTTTGGTGTTAATAATTTCTAGTTTTATTATCGCATGTTCAGACAATGTTTTCTGTAGTGCGTCTTTTAGGAAGTGATTGCTGTTTCATTTTGTACAATAGTTGCATTGGCCAGTTTTTGTAAGTATATTCCATGGCCTATGAAAAGAAAGTGTCCTTTTTGTTTGTACGGTTTATACAGAGTTTTATATATTATGTTCTTTTTTTAGTTTTTGTACATTTGATCTATAACAGTAGAGAGGTATGTCAAAGTATTCACTGCTATTGTATTTCTGTCAAGTGTTTGTTTTTCTCTCCGATTTTCTTGTATGTATTTCAGTTCTGTGTTTTCTGGTGCTTGGAGAGGTCATATCTTCATTATGGCCTGTACCACTTTGTCAGTATGACATTCCACTATTTTCCCATTAAATGCTTTACCTTGAATTCTGTCCTACCTGATTATGATACTGTGAACCGCTTCTTCACTTGAGCATCATTTGCCTGATGTGTCACCCAACCTTTTATTTTCTACCTTTGAGATGCTTTGTTATAAGGGTGTGCCTTGTAAACATTATATTGTAGATATTATACAATGGATTCTTCTAAGAGGTAATTTTATCCTATTTTTCACATTCTCTATTTCAGGAAGAAAGCCACATAGTAACTATGTTTCATAGTCCCAGTGTCTTCTAGACTTGTTTCTTACCATATCTCTTCTAAAAGTAATTGTTCTTGACTCTTGGCAGTGTATATTGTGCCAGATTTTGTTTCTATGGTACTATGTACAGGTTTAGTATTTCTTTATATTTTTATGTACATGTAATATAAAGATACTTTTAAAAAAAGTTTTGTGGTTTATTACATGCTTTTTTTGGATGTGACATTGGCAGAATCAGCCTATTATCTTTATGGAGTTTCTCAAAAACAATCTTGGCCTACTGGTGTGGTATAATTGCCTATATTAGGCAATTATTAGATGTTGAAAATAATTTCTTAATTCTGCTGATCCTTAATTTTTTCCAAATTTTGAAAATATAAATAACATTTTGAGAACTAGTATTAACTTCTGAGGTTATGTAAAGGAAATTCATATTTGATATTGGCTCTATTATTTTTGTCCTTGCATGGAAAATTTATTAAATTTTTTTAAAAGCATGAAGCTGTGCTTTAGGAAGCTATTTTGGTACTAGTCTCAAGGGAGAGATTGCTATTTCTTTCCCACCCTAATAAAACTAGGTCACGGGCTTTTGGCACGTCTCCATGATGTGAGATTTATTTGATGTTTGAGTGTGCTGTCTAGAAATAGTGATGCAATGTCAGCAAGGCCACTTTTCATTTTATGAACATAATTTCCAGTGCCCTGGAATTAATTTACTCCTTGACCTGTTAATAATTACATTTTGGTCACGAGCATTTCAGAGGCAGAGGAAGTGTCTGGAAATGGTCATAGTCACTCTGTTAGATGATAAGTTATGGGGTTTCTGTTCAGCTTGGATGCTTGGCCTTTTAAAGTTGTTGATACCTTGTGAAAACCAAGGAGCTATTGGGTTGTTGGAAAAGTCATGATGTATTTTGTTTATGTTTTTCAAAGGTCATTTATTTACATCAAGAACAAGGATCAGTCAATGATATATTGCCCGTTTTGTTCGATAACCTTTTGCCATCTTTCAGTGAGCTTCCTAATCCTCATTCATAGAAGGACCTGTCTTTATTTGCGAAAAACTGAACAAGGTGCTGATTTACAGCCTCATCTGAATTGAATGTTATACCATGCAAGGAGTTTTCAAGAGAGCAAAACAAGTGGGAGTCTGACGGTGCAAGTTCAGGCGAGAATGGTGGGTGTGGCAACACATCCCATCCAAGCTCCAATAATTTTTGACAGGTGATCAAACTTGTGTGTGGTCTTGCGTTGTCACGATGGAACACAACTGCTTTACAAATAACAAGTTCTGGATGTTTCTGCATGATGAATTCATTCAAACTGCCCAATTGCCAACAGTACACATTTGAATTGATTGTTTGGTTTTTTGGTAGAAGCTCGAAAAACACAACACCTTTAAAATCCCACCACACTGAGAGCATAACCTTCCTCTGATGAATGTCTGCTTTTGATGTCGTTTGAGGCAATCATCACGTTGGGACCAAGACTGTTTGGTGGGCCACATTGTTGTAAACAATCCACTTCTCATAAACAATTATTAGTTGCTTCAAAAAAGGATCGTTTTCCTCATGTTTAATGAGCATACTGATGTGCCGTCAAATGAACTTCTTTGAGTTCATGCGGAACCCAGATATCGAGCTTGCTTGTGTATCCCAGCTTATTCAGGTGGTAGTGAACACTTGAATGATGGATGTTCAGTGTTTCTGCAATCTCTCACGTTGTGTAACGTGGATTTGACTTGATCAATGCCTTTATATTGTCGTCATCAACCTCGGTGGGCCTCCCTGACCGAGGAGCGTCATTGAGATCAAAATCACCAGCATGGAATTTCGTGAACCATCGTTGGCACTGACATTCTTGTAGAGCATTGTCACCGTAAACTTTATGCAACTTTTCACAAGCTTGATGCGCGTTCTTCCCTTTATGGAAGTAAAACAGTAGATAGAAAAGGCAAAAATGCACAGTTTGGTCTTCCATCTTCAACTTGTTGTAAAATCTCCAAAACTCAACCAAATCGCTCAATTTTTTTTTAGAATGAAGCTAGAACTGTCAGCTGTCAAATGGTATAGCAATAAGATAGATGCGAACGACTCTAGTACTTTCAAAAATGAACTAGTGCCATCTGTTGCAAACATGCGTCATGACTTTTCCAATAACCCAATATTTATTAAGCAAACATTTATGTAATGCCTGATAGAATTCTCTGGCCCAGTTGGTTGAGAATACTCATCTCATATACATATTTTTAAATTCTGTTTTACTGTGGCCAACTTTAAACATGATCAGGGAAGTTTCCTGTTCCATTCACCAGCCAGAAGCAAGTAATTGAAAAAGAGAGAGTAACCATAGGACTCCTCTAAAATTAATTATCTGTAAGTTCTAAAATATACAATATTTAAAATGTGCTACTTTGAAATCAGTCGTGTATCTTTTCAGTGTTGAAGAAAGAGATTGAGAAAATATGAAATATTATCAAACCACTGACGTTGCCGAGTGTGGGCCCTGGAGCAGGCTGAGTCTTCGCTCTGTAGCCCCGGGAAAGTGACTTGCTTTTCTATGCTGCTGTCTTTCAATCCATTAAGGGGGATGTCATCATGAGAATTTTATAATGGCATTGTGAGGACGAAAGGAGCAAATGGCTGTGTGCTTTTTAGGTTCTGGTACCTAACAAGCACCTAATACTGCAGTGGTATAGTTCCTTGTCATGTCATCAGTGTCATATTTGTGTTTACAAATGTTCTTTATTCTCTTTTGCTACCCCCTGCCCCTTCCTCGCCAAATAAATTGTCACTCTATTTTATGTGGTTAGAGGTACCTGCTTCTGTTTAATTCCTCCGAGAAGGCAAGTCTTGGGAATAGCATCAATTTGACCTGCTCAGGAAGTGTATTCTGGGAAGGTTGGCCATAGAGACTAGCTTAATTGAACAGGAGGTTTTCTGAATTAAAGAATTAGAGGGTAAAGCTTGGTAAGGCAGTTTTGTGGATTTGCAATTTTCTGTGCTTCAGTTTCATATATTTGTCTATTTACTAGATGTTTTTCTTTGCATTATCTAAAGTCCACTTTCATCTTATTGTTAACTTGCATAGAGATTTATTTAATATGGATTACGTATTTTATTTTTCAGAAATGTAAATTGAGTTGCCAGTCTAATATTTACTTTATTCTCCCTTAGTTTTCATACATTTGACTTTGCAATTATAAAATTTTTATTAACTTTTTCTGTATGTTTCACAGCTATTGAGAATTCGGTGGAAAATACGTATTGTAAAATCTGAAAGGCTTTGGATTTTTTTATTTGACTGTATTAAGATCATGCCATTTGGTATTGAAATCAAGAACTTACAACATCCTGTCTTCCCTTTACAAGTTGTTAAAAGATAAACTGAGGCATATTAAACATTTTCAGAGTTTATTCAAACAAAAATCATTTGAATCAGGCAGCACCAAGCAGGAAGTGGTTAGGAGCCTTTTACCAACAGGACTTGATAGAGAAAAGCTGGAAACAAAGCATGGACGTTCTTGTCTGTAGATGACTTCGAGCCTGGCTGGCTGTTTGTGATTGACAGTCCTCAGTGTTTTGGTTTTTTGACCTTGCAGCATTTCCAGGCCTGGCTTTCGTTTGGTTACATAGGCAGCATGGCATTAGCTCCCCGTCAGCCTCGTGGTGTCCTTCTTTCATTAACGTGACACAGCACATCTCTGCTGGTGTGATCACGTCCGCCGTGTGGCCTCAGCGCTGTCAGCACTAGCAGGGAAGGGGCTGGTCCATTTTATTGATTCTTGTGTCCGCAGCATCTGGCCCAGTGCTTGTGAAGTGATAGGTGCTTAGTAGTAAATGTTCCTGGAAAGAAACTAGTTGTTTTTCTTTAAATGGGGTATTTTCTAGGATTTTTAGGTGTCATGTCCTGAAATTATGTACATGTTTTTTAGAGTAGTTTCTGCTGAATGATAGTGTGTTTAGCACCTTTGTATTCTGTTGCTGTTGTTGCTGCTGTTGTAGTTGTTTTGTCCTAGGCACATTTCAGTGCCCTTTGGGGACAGATTCTTTGGATTCCAGGGAGCATGTAAAAACTTTTCCTGCTCTGAGCAACACAGGCTTCAAGAGGCCTTCCTGTATCCATTACTTGAGCCTAAGGAGACTGAAGTGAAAGGGACAGATTGTTTTTCTTAAAGTCCAGCATAGCTGACCAGCCTTCTCACACCTCTGAGAAGAGAGAACAGAAAGTAGATTAAGCTCCAGGAGTTATTTGTGTTTTGTGGCTGCACAAAATTAAAGTTGCAGAAAGAACCAGAGTGTTAGTCTAAGAGCTCAGACCCTTTTCCCATGCAAACAAGTGAATTTTCATGAGTCTGGGGTTGCACTTGAACTAGAGCAGTCACCCCTCCCAATCCCTGTTATTTGGGTCACTGTAATTATTTTTGCTGATTTGCCTCATGAATGTATACGGTCACATTATTTTTGATGCCTTAACAAACAATTCAGTTGAGTTATAAAGATTTAGAGGGTTTAAAATACTTCGGTTTGGTACCTTTATTTTGTGCAGCCTTAGATAAGGGTAACATTTGTAATGCTAGTTGATATGGCAGGAATCTAATTTGCTGCCCAGGCTCAGCATATTGATTGTGCACTGTTGTCACACACCAGTGCTAACACTTCACACTAGTCAGGTGTGGTACAAGCCTTTGTGGTGCAAGTGTTAGGAGAGCCAGGTGTTCCAGGGAAGAGCTTTCTCTGGTGTTCAGACCAAACGTGTGTTTCACACCACTATTGTGATGAACTCCCCCCCCCCCCCCCCCTTTTTGGCATTCTCAGCATCTAAACCCCTTTCTGTCTGTGAGTCCCTGCTGTATGGGTTTGGTGGACGGCTGCTATCTGAGGTTTCTGCCAGGATTTTGAGTTTGAAGGTTGACTGTCAGAGGTAGGGACATTGGTAATTTCTTTCTGGTGGTGGTGGGGTCTTGTCTGAGGCCTGGGCAGCAGGGGCCCTACCACCTGGTGTGGTCTAGGGCTGCCATCTGGTTCTGGTGACTTTTGGATCGTGCTTGTTTTTGAAAATAGTTCATCAGTGTTAAAAACTTTCATGACCAAAAGCTTTTCTGAAAGTGTTTACTGAGTTCTGTGTTAGCCAGGAAAGGGACCAGGTCCTGGGGCCTGCAGTCTGAACCAGCAGCATCAGGGTAGGTGGAGAAAACAACATGTCCGCTGTCCTGGAGCCGACAGGCTCTTTTATACAGTGAGTTGGGGAAAGAAAGATGTAAGTTGTTTTGAAAGAATTTACATTGGCTAAAGATAGAGGGGCGGGACAAGGTGAAGCAAGGGCAGTTCTAGGATAGGTGCACAGTTTGCAAGGAAGAAATATTTCCTAATTTTGGTTGGTTGTGGGCAACATTCCTGAGAGTTCACGCCTCAGCAGGATGCGGTGGTCCCTGGTAGTGGGCTGCTGCTGAGATAGCCACCTGGAAGGTGGTACCAAGCTCCAGCAGGCATTCAGGCAAGCAGAAATCTTGGTAGTTGGCTCCCAGGTATTAATGGTTAATTAGTCTGCTCTCTCTCTCTCTCTCTCTCTCTCTCTCTCTCTCTCCCCATGGAATTTAATTTAAATCATCTCAGAATTTCTCTGTTGTCATCAGCATTCCTGGTAATTCTTGGAGTCACCCAGAAACCTTTCAGTAAATTCCTTTTCTGTGTAAATCAGCCACAGTTGATTTCATTGCCTACAGCTAAAAGGTCTGACAGATCCAGCTAACCATTATGCTGTCCAGCCACCTTCATTCACATCAGTGAGGTGTGGTTAATGTGGTGTATGAGTGTTGTTATACTCAGAATTCTGTTCTCCTTAGAGCATATTGTATGCCTTGTGGGTCTGGCTTAAGTACTGTGAGTTGATAAGCCTGTGAGATGTATTCATCTGTTTATCGAGTATTTTGAGTACTTGTTATGTATCAGGCAGTTGTTGTAGGCGCTGGAATAAGACAGCAGTAAACAGAAGAGGCCGAACCCTGCCTTCATGGAGCTTCTACTCGAGAAGGCGGACTGATCCGTAAATAAAACAGGTTTTCATGTTAGATGGTGATAAATGTGGTGATGACAAAATTAAGCAAGGGATGAGAAGAGGAATGCTGAACTGAAAAGCCATTAGAATGGGAGTCAGGGGTGATCTTGGAGGATATAAGGAGACGTCCTGTGGTCTCATGACAGGTGGGGCGGGTGCTGGCGCCTTGACTCCATGTCTGTGGGATAATTCAGAGGCCCAGGAAGGAGCAAGTCTTGCCCAGAGCATTCACAGCTCCCAGACCATTTGACTCTGGAGATAAGCTGATTGGTCCAGGATAGAGACAGCAGATACATACAGAGGCAGTGTTCTGACAGAGCTGCCTGAATTCACTTCAGCTAGTCTGGGTGTAATGAGAGTACATGCATATACAGCTGTTGTAGAATGTAGTTTAAAAAGTATATTAGGATATGAGAGTTCATGTTTTAAATACTTTAGTATAAAAATGTAAGCACACAGTCTATTAACTCTGGATCATATGCTTATTTCACTAATGTCTGTTTTAGTTGTCGGACAGCACACAAAGAATGTGTATGTGTGAGCATCAGGCTTTAGAATAACATGACCTCTGGGGAGCCGCTGTGGTTTTTCCTTACTGAACATACAAAAGCATTTCACACTGATACTCATACATTAGTACAGTGTATGTCCAAAAGTCCAGAAATTGTAGAAAATAAGAAGCATAGTGAAGATTTTGTATTTCATTATGAAAGGACTAATATATCTTATTATGTAGAAAAGTTATAAATATATCATTTGTTGAAGTAATTGTCATAGGAAAAATTCTACTAAACGTCAAGTCTTTCCTTATCTGTACTTTTCACTAAGTGCCTTATGATTGAATATTTATTTTTATAAATGTGAAGATTAAAGAAAAGCTTAGCAGAAGCAATCTTAATATCTTGTTGATTACATTCCAGAAAGGAAAAGAAATGGCAGAACATTAAGCCTGGAAGCCATTTGCTATAATTACCCTGTGTGAAATGTAACTGGTAGCTGTCAGGCTTTGATTGAAACTTACTGAAGGTTACACCAGCTGCACGCATTAATTGTCTCCTTGAGCAAATGCACATACTGCAGCCCCCCCTTGGAAGCAGGCTCTTTTGCATTTAATTTGTTGTGTTTTATGATTGGGTTTGGATGAATGCTGCTGTAGGTTCAGATTTATTTTTTGTATTATTTCCAGCAAACAAACAAGCAAAAGTCCCTTCCGTTAAATCCTGAGTACCTCTATGTAAAATTTTGTAATGCTGAGTATTTGAAGGAGGGGAACTTTATATTATTTTAAAGAAGTATTTTGAAACATGTTTTTAATAAAGATTTACCTATCTACCCTTTTGAACATCTTCATAAAATTTAGGTCTTAAACAGCATTGAGACAAACCTTTGTATCAAAGTGGTGAATACCAGTTTGCAGGTTTATTTGGATTGTGGACAGTGTATTTTCTTGGGTGAATAACTCCAACGTTTGATTTGACAGCTGCCACATACAGCACTGTGTAGGCCACACCAGAGTATCAGAGACTCCTTATTCATGTTGATCGCCGTCTGAATTGAACAAAATTCCAGGGAGAGCTCAAACAGAAGGTGTTTATTCCTTTATTGCCCTCTAGGGAGCGTCTAGTTTGAGTCCTTCGGGAGCCATAACTGTGTGAATATGGCTTAAGTTCATTGAATTACTCACACTGAGAAATATTAAAGTGTTGCTAGACTGTTGATGATCTACAGTAGACATTTGCTGCTTTTTGGCTGCCTAGTATCTATTCCCCTTCCTGAAAACACCCGTTTCCATGAGAACACTGGGCCTGTTCTCATTAAGCAGGGAGCCAGAACCCCCACCTCCCTTGCGCATGGAATCTGGAGCTCCCCCAGGTGGGGGCCCTTCCACAGGGCTGTCCAGGGGCCTGATGGAGCTCGCACAGCATGACTGGGCTGTTTGGTCTTGCCTGGTGTCTCTGCTGTTAACTGTCAGCCTCCCTTGATTCCAGAAATCCCCCTTTTCCTTATGCTAATCAGAGTCCATTTTAGTGGCTTACCACCTTCACAAGAACTTTACTTGGCTAAAGAAGCATATCTTTTTCATATCTAAAGTGAAATTTTCCTTTTAGTCGAAGTGTCCTGCTGTCTCGTACAGTTAGTTGGTAGCAGCTTCAGACTCCATTGCTGAAGACAGAGGCCTTGTGCTTGCCCTGTGTGGACCCTCCAGGTGGCCGCATGGTTTCTCTTTGTAATTAGCCGTTGAAGGTGTGGTTGGTACAAATCTGGATAGCAGGTCATAAAGGGATTTGGCAGGATTTTTCTGTTTGTTGAATTGTATATAAAATTTTAGGAATGCTTCCCAGTGCTGTCGCATTTAAAGCCAGTTACTACTGGATGGTTTGTGTCGTAAAGGGACAACTGAAATAAAATGTTTCTTCAGCTGAATTTTTATATCATGTAGTTTTTTTAAATAAGCAAAATAAGTACTTCATTTTTCCTCTTGTGAATTTAAAGTGACAGTTTTCGGGTTACAAGTTTAAGATGACTAAACTTGAAGCATTACATTTTAAAATTCACTCACATAGAATAAAATATACTTTTATCATGTAAAGCATTTGTTTCCTATTAAAATTAAAATGTTGCTGGAAGAATTATGTATTGAAAATAAATTAAATACATTTTTCAATCATTATGAATTAGTGAAATGGAAAATTTGAGCAGTCATATTTAGATCTGTCACTACATGGTTTTTGTATTAACTCAGTCTACTCATCTTTTTGCATTCTACTTTCTGGACAGTTAAAGCATTTCCGTAGCCAGTCCATCTCTTAGGAAGGATGTCAGGACAGTTTCCCAGACATTTGGAAAGGGTTAATATCTGAATGTATCACCTCAGTAGGATAAACCTGGTGGAGGAGCACTTACATCAGCATCTTGGTTTACATCCTTGTCTGTTGAATACACGCTTCTGTTCTGTTCTTTGTGCTTAGATGTATTATGCACAATATCTTTGAATATGCTTCACTCATCACAATTGAGTATATATAGATTTAACCCCAAAGACATAGACTTAGCAGTGTATGTCCTGAAAGGTTACCCCAACTTTCAAAAGAAGACTGTGAAGTAGTTTCCATTATATTAGCATAAAAAAATAGTAGCATGGGGTTTAAAAAATATGTATATGAAGTGTGATGTTTTTCTCAGTGTAAGTGCTTTGCACATTCATAGGATTTGCAAATGCTTTAAATTTTGTGCCCTTCCCAACCCAGGAGTGAATTATGTTGCAATGAGTTTACTCTAACCTAGAGGATGTTCTCATCATAGAAATGTTACATAGGATGGGGAGGCCCATGGATAGTGCTAAAGCCTAATTTAATCCAAAGTTTAGATGACATACTTTTTGCTTTCACATGGAAAAGAAATGAGTGCTCTCTGTGAGTAAACTATTATTTTTTTTCCTAACAAGATGGTCAATCTTTTTATTTTTATTTTTTTAAGATTTTATTGGGGAATTGGGGAAGGGGAACTGTGCTGGGGAATTGGGGGAGGGAGACAGCCAAGTTGTTGTCCTTCAGTCTTTGTTGTGGAGGAAGCAGCTAGCTCAGCTGCAAGTCCAGCCGCCATCCGGCCACCTGTTAGGGCAGCCCAGTTCAGGGTGCCATGTTCAATCTTAGCTGCTGGTGGGCTATGCCCACCATCACATGGGAGTCAAACCAGCAACCTTGTTGTTAGGAGCACGTGCTATCACCAGCTGAGCCATCCTGCCACCCGTTGGCAGATCAGCAGCAGCTCAGCTCGGTCACAGCTCACTGGCCCATGTGGGAATCGAACCAGCGACCCTCTTGCTCAGAGCTCACACTCTTAATCAACTGAGCCACTCGGCTGACCCCGTGAATAAACTTTTAATGGTAACATTGCTGAGAGGAAGTTGACTATGCATTTTTAGCCTGCTCTTCATCTCACCTTTCTGGAGGGCATCCTCAGAGTTATTTGGAGTTGATGCTGGAAGGCCAGAGCAGCGTGTAGCTGAAGCTGAGTTAGTGAGGCAGGTGTGTGAGTCCTGGGGTTGAGATTATCGGCAGGAGTACAGTATTTGGACAGAGGGGCTGGAACCAGCCAAACCATCTATTGTTCTTCTTCCAAGAAAAGGTGGTAGTAGCTGTAGAAAAAGGAAAATATTCAGAGTAGGGAAAAGAGAATAGGAAGGGGGAGAAGATTTCCCTTCATCACCCCTCTATCCAGTCTGCCCGGAGTACCCAGCACCCCAGAGAAGAGGCAAGCGAATGTCACCAATGCAAGAACCAGACTCCCAGAACCACCGACAGGCAGTAAGTGTGGGACCTGGCAGTTGAATGCACTGGTCTCCTCAGTTGCAGTCACCACCAAGGGTGGGGGTTGTGCACGCTCAGCTGTAGCTTCTTGTGTGCTCCCCACTTGTGGGGGACAGCGCAGTGTGCTCGGGGAGAAATGCTGACAACTGAAAACGTACATCTGGAAACCTTGGATTATTCTGTTTGGCTATTAACAGCCCTGAAAGAAGAACCAGACGTCACGAGAAGCAGGTGAACGGTCAAAGGGAAAGACAGGCTGCAGCCTCCATTAGAAGGTTTGGGCTATGACTGGGTTCAAGTAATTTAATTGTGTGGCATGTTAGTAATTAGGGCAGGTTACTTAGGTCTCTGAGTTTTCCTTTATTTGTAAAATGAGAATGATAACATCTATAATACAAAGCTGTCCTAAGGCTTGTTATATCTGTTACCTTTCTATAGCAGCTTTGTAAACTCCAGTATCATGAAAGTGCTAGTTATCTTATGGAGCTTTACATTTGTAAACTGCATTGCTAAGCCTGGGTCTTAGTGATGCATCAGTGGGTTAAGCTGACACTCCCTTTTCTGCTGTTTGAGCTGATAGTCAAGAGACCTGGATTATGGTGTCGAAGGTCTGATTTTGCTCCTAATTAGCTGTGTGCTTGTCAGACTCACCACCAAGCATACCTAATGGGGACACGCACACAGGGTGCTCAAGCAGTCTGCCACATACACACTCGTGGTTTCTGTAAAATCACATTTTGCTTTACAATTTTATGTAAAGTTTGCATTCTAGCCTATACAGTATTTATAACAAATTGCACATACCTTTTAAATTACCTATAAGAAAGATGTAAAAAGTGAGGCGGGGATCTTGCCTGTTCTGTTAACTGGTGGGTGGGCTCAGTGGGGTTGGCCTGCCTATGACTTCACGTGCCCCTACACATAGGAGCTCACACAGCCAACTGTTGGGCTCCTCTTGTTAGAGAGGATTGCCTCTGTGGGGCCTGTGTTTCCTTTGGGGCAATTATTCTGTGAAATTCCATGTAACAGATATTGCAAGGAACCCTTGACCTGATTACAAAATCAAATTATATGACACGCTATTCTTACAAAGAGGTTTCTAGATATTGTGTAATTCCTAGCTATACGGGCTAGTCACAGAGGACTTTGCTTAACAGAGTCTATTATTATAGAGGCTGCAAATTAACACATTTCATTTGTTTCAAATAATCGTGAAAGGTAGTCATCAGTACATGACATTTCATTATGATGTTCTCCCTATTTTTATGTGTGATTATAAACTTCCCACCAAAAGGTTAAAAATCTTTAAGGTTTCTGTTCAAGAAGGTAGAGCAGGCACTGAGCAGTCATTTTCCACATACCCATATTAAGGCCTCATCAAAATGAAAGCACAGGCTGTAAAAGATATAATCATCAACCAACAAATAGCAAAGCGAAGGGAGAGGAGGTATCCACAAATGAGAACGTGGAAAAGGAGACAGATCGAGGCTGTAGCCTGGATGTGTAGTGCAAGATGTGTAGGAAGGAGTGGGAGGCAGGCTTTCCCCTGGCATCATGGAGGGTGAGTCAGCAGCTTAGAGTTTATAAATTTAGATAGAGGTTTCCAAAAACGGTACAATTGAGGGGCTATTTATAAACTTGTACTACTGAGCAGCTCCCCCCCCCTCCACACACACACACTCCCGATGCACAGTGCACACACATGCACACACATACTTAAAGCAGAGTCACAAAGTTTGCCTTGAGTTTGTTAGTGAATATTAAAATGTGCTTACATAGGGTAAAATTGTAAGGCCGGGCAGATTTTCCAAATTTGGTGAAAAATTAAGCCCTACTGCCTTAAGATATCTATTATACATAATTAACGTCCATCCTATGTACCTTAGAGCTATGTACTGTCATTGGGAGATATAAAAATTCTCATTCATTTAATTTTCTGTTAGCTTTATTTTCTTACAAAACTCTATTTGAGAAAGACTACTTTAGGTCAGCCACTAAAGAAAATTAAATATAGTTAATAAGCCAGTGGTGAAGATAGAATGGAATACTAAGAAATGCTCAGTCACAAAGTCAAGGAAAGAAGAACAAGTCATAAAGGTCAGGTGAAAAATATAGAAAACAAATATCAAGATGGTAAACTTAAACCTAACCATATTGATATTAAATTAAATGTAAATTGTTCCATACAGTGTGAATAAAAAGCAGAGCTTGCCAGACTGATTACAAAAGTAAGAGTCAATTATATACTGTTTATAAGAGAGACACTTTAGTGATAAAGATACAGATAGGTTAAAACTAAAAGGATGGAAGACGATATGCCATGCTTACAATAGATAAGAATGCTGGAATAGCTGTATTAATACCAGAAAACTAGGTTTCAGGACAAGAGATCTTACTAGTGATAAAGAGGGACATTTTATAATAACAGAACAGTGAATTCACCAAGAAATCATAATAATCCCAAACATGCATTCAACTGTAACAGCTTCAAAATACATGAAGCAGAAATTCTCAGAACTAAAAGCAGAAATTAAAAAATGTATTTTTGCCAGAGATTACATAATGATGGAGCAAATGGAAAGAAAACCAGTGAGGGTATAGAAAATTTTCAAGTACTTGACCTAATTGATGTTTTCAGAGTATTCCGCCCAACAATAGAATTCACATTCTTTTGAAGTTGTACATGGAATATTAATCAAAACAGACAGAAGGGTGGACCATAAAATAAATCTCAATAGATTGAAATAATACAGACTATATTCTCTGATGCCAACAGAACTAAATTAGAATCAATAACTTCTAAGTATACCTATGAGTCAAAGAAGAAATGACTAGAGAAATTAGAAAATATTTTGAACCTAATGAAAACAAAAACAACATGTTAAATTTTGTGGAAGGTAGCTAAAGCAATGCTTCGAGAAAAGTTATAACTTTAAAAGTTTGTGTTAGAAAAAAAGAAAGATACAGAATCATTGAGCTAAACCTCTACTTTTAAGAGCAGAAATTAGTGAAAAAGACTATGCACAATAGAGAAAAATCAATAAAACCAAAAGCCGATTCTCTGAAAAACACTGCTAACTAAACTAATAATCAAGAAACAAATAAACAGAAAAACACAAATTACCGATTTAAAAGATAAGTCATCACTACAAATCCTGCAGAAATTAAAGGATAAGAAGAGAATATTATGAAAACTTTATGCCAGGAAATACACCAACTTGAAAGACATGTAATTACCAAACATACTAGAAGAAATAGATAATCTTCATACCTCTATACTTATTTAAGAAATTGAATTAGTAATTAAAAAAAATTTTCCCACAAAGAAAACTCCAGGCCCAGATGGCTTCACTGGTGAAATCTATCAACCAGTTTAGGAAGAAATACTACCAATCCTACGTATATTCTTTCAGAAAAGAGAGGCGGCGAGAACAGGTCCTCACTGATTTTGTGACGTCCCCATTACTTTTCTGCCACCCCCTAAAAAAGGTATTAAAAGGAAAGAAATCTACAGAGTGGTATCCCCCATGAAAATAGATATAAGTATTCTTAACTAAATTGTAGCACATCATACCCAATAATACATAAAAAGGTAAGTTGGGTGTGGGAGGGAAACTGACCTGTCTGTTACACAAGCCCCTGATGGGTGTTCCATTCAGGAATGTTACTGTGAATGCTGGGGTGAGAGACTGGTGTTCTTGGGTGATTTCTGCTTCTCTGAGCCAGGAGTCTGTGGCTGTATTTCTTCTTCTGTCTTTTGCTTCCTTGTATCTGAAACGCCAAGAGGCTGGGGGTGGAGGTGAGGGAATGGGGGATTATGACTTTGATTCTTGGGCAACTCTGATGTAATGCTGTATGCTTGGAGCGTGAGGACCTGCCTGCCTGTCCTGCTCTGCCACTTCCTTGTTCCTAGCTCTGTCACTTACCCACCCTGATTAAATTGCATAGCAGTATGTTGAATTAAGTCACAAGGGCTGGTTTAGGTACCATGGATCCAGCAGTCCTCAGTCAGTCAGCAGTCAGTAAACATTTATAAAAAAAATTGTATAATTAGGAAAGATAATATATTGAAACTAAGCAGGATTTATCTCATTTATAAATCAAGCAGCGTAATTCATATTAACAATAAAAGAAAAATTATGTGATCATCTCAATATTTGCAGAGAAAGCATTTGACAGAATTCTACATTGACTCTTGATTTAAAAAAAAAAAAAAAACATTTAGTAAATTGTTTACTAAATAGCAGGGTACTTCCTCAGTCTGACCAAAGGCTTTCTAAACTACCTACAGCTGACATTATTCAATGATGAAAAACTGAACCATTTTCCCCTAATAATAGAAACAAGGCAAGACTATCCACTTTCATCACTTCCGTTCAGTCTTGTACTGTAGGCTCTAGCCAGTGCAGGAAGACGAGAAGAAGAAGTAAACAACAGATTGGAGAGAAGAATTCACATTCTCAGTTCACTGGTGCCGTGGTCATGCTCAGAAACAACTAGAGTTGAGCAAAAACACTGTTAGAACTAGGAAGTGAATTGAGCAGTCTCTGAATACAAATCAGTTGTACTTCTGTATACTAGCAGTGAACGATTGCAAACTGTAATTAAAAAATTACTTCCCTTTACAATACCATCTGAAAACATGAAATATTTAGGAATAAATTTAACAAAATATGTGCAAGATATGTACACTCAAAACTATTAAACATGATGGAGAGAAATGAAAGAAGACTTAAATGGGGAGACAACATATTCATGTATTAGAAGATGTCAGTTCTCCCAAATTTTATAGATTCAGTACACTCGCAGTTAAAATCCTAGCAGCATTAAAAAAAAAAAAAAAACGGCAAGGTGATTCTAAAGATTCTATATGAAAATGCAAAGGAAAAGTGGCTGAATTACACTATCTGATTTCAAGATTTACAATAAAGGTAAAGAAATCAAGATAGCATGATACTGGTGTGAGAACAGACATACAGAATAGAAATTCCAGAAATAAGACTCTCATGTATATAGTCAGGGAACAGAAGTGGGGAGGGGCAACAATGGAAGTCCCACTCGTCATCTCGGTACAAGAAGCGTCAGAATTTCAGAATAATCTTGGTCATAGTTTTATAACAAATGTTATTTTAGGACAAATGTTATGAAATGTTATTTTATGCTGTTAAATCACCCATAAGCTTAATTGCTGCAATCTGGGTAGATGTATATTTGTTTTACAGTTTAAGCATCACTGATTTAATAGACTAGCCAAAAGCAATTTCAAATACTTCCATTTATTACAAATGATCAATCTCTTTGTTTCTAAAGTCATATGAAACAAATAAAATGTTTATATGACATTGTTTAAATTTAATTATACTTAATTTCCATAAAATAGAAGATAAAGTGCAAGAACTGAGAACTTGTCCTTTATCTGTTTTTTAGATAGAGCTGCATAATTTATAGTGTGCCTCAATTCATGAGCAACTAGCTTGTTTTTGAAAATTAAAGAAAAGATATTTTCTAAGTTAATTCACATTATACTTTTGATTTTAAATAATAAAGGTTGTTTCTAAATGATAGCTTTACTGTGTACCAAATTAGCATTTGATAGTTTAAAATAAAATCCATTTTATGATTCTGTGAAGTTGTAAGAGGGCATTATAAATAGCTTTTATATAAGAACATACATATACATGCATAGGCACATTTAATCATTAAACATTGCTTGTCAGGACAGCCATGGAAATGTCCTCTGCAACAGTTTTTCTCAGATCTATTTCAGACTTATGCATATGTTACTATATTTATCTTGATCTAATCAGCCCGTGCTGTGAGGTGTGGTTATTGTATTACAAGCAGCTGTGCAAAGCTTTTTCTTTTAAAAACTACATTCTTTCATAGTGCTGCCATCACTCACATATGACACATTTGGGCAGCAAATTAAAAGCAAGTAAACTGTAGAACTAGGTGAATTAAATGATGTCACAATACTTCATGATACCTTTGTGGAAAAACTCTTTCAGGACAATTTAAAATGAAGGTATTAATATTTTTCAATCATAACAAAAGATAAAGAGTCAGTGATGTGGATTATCACTCTTAGGTTTTTATGAACGTGAAACTTATGCTGGGTTTAACTATGACTTAAATACAGTCATAGTTATTCTGAGGGTTAAAAATATGCCAACCTTTAATTAGTTTGTTCTGATGCTAAGAAATGTATACATATTAATGTATATATTTAGTGAATTTATAAGACTGTCAAAAGTCTAAAATTCCAACCTGTGGCCTAAATGGGAATTTTGGAATATAGAAACTCTTATAAACCTAAACGTAAATTTCACTGTAACTTTTGTGTGGCATTTTGAAAATACTGTAAATGTCAGATTCTGTTGACCTTTGAATCTGTGCTGCATGGCAGGCCCTGGGCTAGGCGTTACCTGTTGTCTCCTGTTTCACCACCTGCCTACGAGGTCATTTACTCAGGCTACCGATGTGGAAACTGAGTTTTAGAACCTCCTGCAGGGTCACACAGCTGATCAGGGACATTTGATCTGAGTGGATGTATTGATTAGTTAAGAGAAGTGCTCTGATGTTAGGAAGACGAGCTTCACAGTGTGAACATTTTGCATTGACAGCACATAAAGGTTGACAATATAGACTCTTCTTTACTTTTTGTATTAACTGAAGAGATAAGTACTTGGACAATTTGCAATTTAATTTTTAAAGATTTTTATTGGAGAATTAGGGAAGGGGAACACTGTGTTTTTCCAGGACCCATCAGCTCCAAGTCAAGTTGCTATTCTTCAATCTTAGTTGTGGAGGGTGCAGCTCAGCTCCCAAGTCCAGTTGCCGTTTTCAATCTAGTTGCAGGGTGGCACAACCCACCATCCCAAGTGGGATTCGAACCAGCAACCTTATTAAGAGCATGCGCTCTCACCAGCTGAGCCATCCAGAGGCCCGGCGGCAGCTCACACCCGCTCAGCTCAAGGTGCTGTGTTCAATATTAGTTGCTTGGTGGAGGGGGAGGGGCGCAGCCCACCATCCCATGTGGGAGTCCAACCGGCAACCTTATTGTTAGGAGCACGTGCTCTCACCAGCTGAGCCATCCGGCCGCCTGTTGGCAGCTCAGCAGCATCTCAGCTCGGGTGCAGCTCACTGGCCCATGTGGGAATCGAACTGGCGACCCTGTTGCCCAGAGATCGCGCTCTAACCAACTGTGTCACCTGGCCAGCCCCAATCTGCTATTTTAGATTAGCCGTTTCTTATGTTAGAATTCATTTTTGTTTCTACTGCCACGCTGTGAGTTCAGACTCCCATTACCTGCCACCTCAGCTAATCTAGCATTTCGTTCAGAAGCAATCTGAACAATGGAATGTCTCTGGGATTCTGTCTGTCCTCTCCTCGGGACGTTTACATCCATATGATGATTGCCAAATTAATTTTCCTCTAAAGCTTTCAACAGCTAACATTGCTTGCCAAAGAAAGCATAAACTCATCTTGGCACTGAAGACTTGAATTTGGCTTTCCAGTTTTGGCCTTCGCGTTCCATGCCTGTGCCCCATCTCAGCCATTTGAGATCCCTCCTGTTTGGAAGGACGTGAGCTGAGCTGAGCTGCAGTGGAGAGCCTCTCCCTTAGCTCCCGTCTCCACACAGCTTCTGTCTGCTCCTCCTGGGGACTTTCCTGCTCTCTGCTGTGGCACTTGTTTCAGACCTCTTACATACCTAATAGTTTTAGTATCAAATCACAGAATGGAGGAAATTAAGGTCAGCAATAAATATGTGCACATCGTCCAGAGATTACCTTCTTCACACTTTTGCAGTTTTTCTTATGTGTGGTTTCTGATATAGGTTGGAGCACTCAAGATAATCCACATTTATTTTGTTACATTCTTTCCGCTAATTTGTTTGTATATGGACCTTCAGGTATGCCAAAAAGGACATTAGTTTTATTTGCATTTTAATTAGTTTGAAGTATAATTCTTGTCACTCTTGCTTGACTTTCTTTTTCTGATTTCTTCCTTGTTTATAGTTTGTTTTCTTGAATCATGTTATATTTAATACCATAAAATACGATTTACATATGCAGGAGAATTACTTGTGTAGCACTCACTTTAAGGAGTACAATGCTTGCCCACTGCATTGTGATATATTTAGATAACCTGCTGGACTAGTCGGAAAAGAGATTCTCGGTGTTGATTCATGAGGAGCCGAGTAGTCATGAGCAGCCTGCAGAGCTGCTGCCTGCAGCCCTCCTCCGCTCGAGCACCAGGATTTGGGCTCAGAGAGCCACAGCGCCCTGAAAGCCAGCTCCTCACTGCATGTGCCGGATGCTGGTTCAGCTAAAGCAGAGAGAGGCCTGTTCTGGGTGAGGAGGCTGCTGTGATGAGGCCAGCAGGGCCACCTCCGTCTCCCCGTTCATATCTCACAGGTTTCTCTTTTCTTGAGTCTTTGCTGCTCAGACCCCATAATTTATTTTCTGCTTTCACAGAGATTCCGTGGAATGTGTTATAAATGTAACATAATACAGAGGAGGGTATTATTTACAGGCTTAGTTTTTAGGATATAAGACCAGCCATGATTTATTGATGAGTATAACTATCTGAAGTCAGAATATCTGATATACCCAGAGAGTTGTTTGCTCGCTTCATATTATACTGTGGAGAGGGCCCCAACCTATGCATTCTGTCACACCTGAGGATGGTGACTGCCAAATTAAGTTTTCCAGGTTTCTCTCAGATGAGCCGCTCGCTCACAGTCTGA